ACAACTCTGTTTCTCCTGCAGTGTTTGGAATGGAGCCTTTGTTTGAGCCCATGGAACCTCTTGATCCAGGAGCTCCTGCTCAGGACACAGAGGCAGCATCTGCAGTGTTTGCCTCCCTGGTCACAGGTCTCCTCAGTCCTGCCACAGCTTAGCCAGAGCACAAGTGCTCTTCAGTCTGGCTGCAGCTGGCCCTTACTTTGCCTTGCAGGAGAGAGAGACTCTTTCACCCAGTTTGCTGGTTCTTTGTGGTGACCACGGCATGTCTGAGACAGGAAGTCATGGGGCCGCCTCTGCAGAGGAAGTGAGGACACCCCTGGTCCTAGTCAGCTCTGCATTTGAGAGAAAACCTGGTGAGAATTAAAGAACATTTAACATCTTGAAATTATAGTCCATTTTTAATTTTACAAGCCACTTTTTAAAGCTGTATAATCTTGAAATATCCTGAGTAATTGAAAATAAAAATAAGGGGGAGAGGAGCAGTCAGTATTTGGAGTTTACATCCCTTACCCTGAATCTCAAAACGCTTGCACAAACTTTTGCAGGAATGTTAATTTCAAAATGTTACTGTCTGGTATTTGGAAATATTAAAAGAACTGCCTTCACTTACAGACATCTGACCTGTATATACAGACTGAAGGGAACAAATGTTTAAAATGTTTGAAAAGCATGCACTATGTAAAGCCACATATCGAATAGCAAGCATCGGGGATGAAGTTGGAGCATGACTGACTGAGGCCCTATTCCTGGGGTCAGGCGCCACTTCTGCAGCCCACATGGCTCCCCTGCCTGCTCCCGTCCCCTGGCTCCCCCAAGAGGTGCTGTCTCCCACCTCTTGCTGACACACTTGCAGTAGGTGTAGTGGTTATGTCTAAGGTGTAGCAGAGCCTGGGGACATTCTTGGAGCTGGCTTCCTTGCTCTGCAGTACCAGTCAGCACTTGTTTGGCTGTCCTTCCAACTCTGGCTGGGCTGCCACTCCTCTGCTTCCTTCACTGGTCTTTTCTGGACTGGCTGTGTCATTCTACACTTGCTCCTGAGGTGGCTCGTCTGCTTCCATGGCCAAAGATGCCATGAGTAGGCCTACCTCCCTCACTGCCCGCATTCTGTTTCCTCACATCTCTCCATACATACGGCCCTCAGTAGCTGAACTTAGGATAAATTATGAAACCCATGAGAAGCTTTTGGTCAGCCTGACTGCTTCGTTGCGAGTTGTTTTGCTGGTTCTCTGCCCTCCCGCCCCTGTCTCGCCGTCTTAGCCTCCTGCAGGTCTCAGATGCATCATTCCTCATCTCCAAGGCCAAACTACTTTACTGTTCATGTCTCCTCCATACTTGCTCTCTGAAGGCATGCTTGGCTTGGTCTGTCTTCATAGGCTTGTTTGTGGGGTTCACATCACAGCTGCCTTCTCACTCCATGCTGAGATGTTGCCCAACACATAATAGGTGCCAAAAAGATTTGCTGAATAAACTCAGGCGTTGGCAGGGGAATCCCCTTCCCCTCCTCCCCCCATGGTGTATGGGCGTTCTCCTCAGATGTCACTGGCTCTTGGGACTCAGCCTCTCCAGGAGCCTACCCAGACACCTGCCCTCTGCAAGGTGTGCAGACCCTGAGCCACTGCCCTGTGTCCTGCAATTATCTGCTACCACCCTGACCCAGAGAAGTCAGGGTGCCACTCACCCATGTCTTCTACCATCCACTCCCTCAGAAGGGGTTTGTTGAGTGCGTAGGATGGGCCAGGGGTTGTACTGGGCACCACTGGGTTAGCACAGGAGCCAGACACCTTTGTCCTGAAGGAGCTCTTGGTCCAGGAAGGAAGAGACAATTATGCCAGATCTTTCTCTGTAGGAACAAAGGTTAGGGCTGTTGTGTGATAGAAGTGCTGACGCTTCATCTCCAGTGTGGATATTTAGAACATCTGTGTGGTGCTGTACAGACGACCTGCCTCAGCCCTGATCACTGGATCTGTTTTGTTTTCTCCGAACAATTGTGTTCTTCTCATCTTTTTCATTTTATGAACCAGGACTGTTCACTAATGTATTCATGGCGTTGGGTGACCATTGTCATAGTTAGCTTTAGGACATTTGATCCTCTCAAAAAGAAACCTCTTACATTTTAGTAATGCCCCCCACCCCCAGCACTGGGCACTCACTAGTGACCCACTTGTGGGCATTCTGTGGAACTGGGACACATGACACATGGGCTTGAGATCTGCTTCCTTCACTTAGGGTGATGTTTTTCCAGGCTTATTCAGGCTGCAGCATGCCAGTCTTTCATTCCTTTTTGTTGCTGAATTGTATTCGATCATGTGGTGGACCAGATTATTTATTGTCCATTGGTGGAGGAACATTTAGGTTGCTTCTACTTGCTGCTGTGACTATCTGTATGTTTTTGTAAGGATATGTGTTTTCATCTGGTGTCATTGTCTTGCTACAATATAGTTCTACCCCCATTTCCACCTGTTTCTGTCAAATGTGTTGTATTTCTTTATAGTGCAGCTGACAGCATAATTACATTTTTTTTTTCCAGTACTGGGGATTGAACCCAGGGCTTTGCACATTCTAACACTGAGCTACACCCACAGCCCCTTTTATTTTACTTTGAGCAAGGTCTTGCTAATTTGCCCAGGTTGACCTCAAACTTAGTATCCTCTTGCCTTTGCCTCCCCAGGAGCTGGATTTGCAGGTGTGGTATACTATGCCTGGTTATATATATATGGTTTTTATATTATTTTTGAAATAAGTTAAGAGAAGAAAAGGGAAGAAATTTGCCTTTGTGCTGTTTTTTAGAATTATATACCTACCTTTGCCTTTCTTATGGGCCCATATTACTACCTGGAGTCACTTGGTTTCAGCTTTAAGAACCTCTTTCACTGTATCTTATAAGGTGAGTTTGCTACCAGATTGTCTGTTTTCTAAATTCTGAGGATATCTTTCTTTTGGTACCGGGGATTGAACTCAGGTCCTTGCGCTTATGAGGCAGGCAGCACAACCACTGAGCTAAATCCCCGGCCCTATCTTTTTTGAGGATAGTTTTGTTGGATTTAAGTCTCCAAGTTAGCAGTCTTTTCTCTCAGCTTCCAACTGCCGTGCCCTGCATCTGGCCTCCATGGTTCTGATGAGAAGTCACCATTCAGCATTGTGCTTCCTGTCTTCTAGCATTTTCAGTGCAGTGAGTCTGTGTCATTTGTGTTTATCCAACATGGAGTTCATTGAGCCTCTTGGATTTGTAAATGCTTTTCATCAAGTTTGAGGATTTTCTGGTGTTCAAATGGTGTAATCATCTTGATCTTTGTGATGCTTCCTTGTGCCATTTCAGACCTGCTATTGAACACTTCTAATGAGCCTCTTTGAAGTCTTTTAGTCTGACATATGGACCCTTCCCCAGGAAAGATTTTTCCTGTTTGTCACACTTACCTGTAACTTTGTGTGTCTCATAATTTTTGGTGAAAACTGAACATGTTAAATGATGTAGTGTGACCAGGCATGGTGGCACACATCTGTGATCCAAGCAGTTGGGAGGCTGAGGCAGGAGGATCGCCATGGGTTCAAGGTCAGCCTGGACTACATGGTAAGTTCATGGCTATCCTGAACTATTGGATGCTGATCAGTCCCCCAATCTCCTGAGCAAGGATATGGTTGCAGGATTTAAAAAGACAAGACACAATCTTAATGCATAAATGAGGGGCCCAAGACAGTCAAAGCTTTTATCAGGCTAAGACACTGTCTCCTACAGCTCGCCACTTTTTATTGAACATGCAGCTTCTTGAAGGGGTAAGGGGCGGTGCAGGGAGCAGTGGAGTGGAGAGCACTGATGCGAGCAGGTTCTGAGCAGCAAGGGAACAAGACATTCTAGCAAGAGCAGCTCATAGATTAACGGGAAATTTGTTTCTTCCCGTGGATTAATTTTACCTCTGTAGGAGTTTTCTGTATGAGTCATGCTGCCCTCAGTTGCACTATTGTCTTTCTATCCAAGACATCACAGTGTCACAGATCATTGAGACCTCTGCTGTAACCAGTGGTGTGGGGCGTTGTTTCATTCCCACACACCAACCGCTGGCTCTTCAGGCAAGCCATTGTGAGCTAATAGGCAGACTCAGACTTTGTTTTTTGGTACTGGGGATTGAACTCAGGACCTTGGACTTGCGAGGCAGGTGCAGTGCCACTGAGCTAAATCCCCGGCCCTCAGACTCTTAATATGAAAAGCCAATTTATGAATTTGCAGCTCACTCAGGGTGATCTCCATCACTGAACTACACAAATGAAGCAGTGCAGCAACTCGGGACACTAACCCTTTCCCCTCCAGGGCATGTTTATTTTTCTGGTGACTTGAGGACTAATTCAGTGCTACAGTGGTGCTTCAGGGGCACACCCTGGCACACACAGCCCTCTTAGCTATTACCTTTGTTTCTGTCACATCTAGCTCTGAAGCTCAGCTAACTGCTGGCTGATTCTTCTCTTTTGTTTCTGAAAGGACAACAGCAGCAGGGGAAGATGAGAGCTCCTCATGCCCTGCCCTTGCCTGGCAGCAAGCACCGCCCACCCATGCAGCTTTGAGAAGAGAGAGCCTTGTGTTCCTGGGTATCCCTTGGAGTGAATTTTCTGTCCCACTGAGCTGGGAAGAGAGGGGGCTTAGATCACAGTTTGTGTGCCGTAGACTCTTGACCTTCTTACCAAAGTTTAGTTGATTTTTCTGGGATAACAGTTTCTTCATTTGCTGGATGCCCCTAGACGGAGGCTGTGATGGCCATTTTTTATGAAGCTCTGGTTTGTGCACTGTGTGATTTCACATTTGTCCCAATCTGCTACTACCCATCCCAATACCTCACCTTGAGGTGAGAAGCACAGGTCTGGGTCACTCGAGGGCCAGGGGTCCGGGAAGGGTCATGTATCTCTTCCTGGACCTTCACAAAGGCAGAGCAGGTATATTTTGTTGCCCGCCTCTTGCTATTGAAACATAAGCTCCATGAAGGTAAGACCTTGCCTGTTCTGTCTTCCAGGCCTAGAATAACAACCAGCACCGTGGCTGTTTCATCAGTATCTGCTAATGGGATGTTTAAAAGATGCTTAGGTGAGGATGTGGCAGCGCCAGTGGAGGTGTAAGGCCTGGGAGAATGATAACCAGAAATGCTTCAGGATCAAATCTGCTCCATCTGTGTACACAGTACAGATTTACAGTTATTGAAACTATAATACCCTGGCAGGAACTAGTCAGAATTACAGTTATTAAAACTAATACGCTGGCAGGAACTGGTCAGACACATCCATGGAACAAAATCAGGAGGTGAAAAGTAGACCCCAGACTGTAAGATTGGATAATGGCAGCATCTCGGGGGAAAACACAGGACACTTAGTGAGTGTCATTAGCATACCTGGCTCACCTGGAAAGAAGTGATGCTGAATTGTATGTTGTTCTACCAAAGTACATCATCCAAACCAATATAAATTCTAGACCAAAACATTTTAAACTCTTTAAAAGATTCTTTATTATAGAGAATTTCGGACCTATAAAGATAGCCAAAGACTATAATAAATTCTCCACTTCACCACCCAGCTTCAACAGTGACTAGTCCATTTATGCTGGTTTATTTTATCTTTGTCCACACTCATCTACCTTCTCCTTTACTATTTGGAAGCAGATCTCTAAAATATATGCAGTTTTCTCCCCATAATCTTGGCATCATTATTATGTTTTAAAAATAACATTAACAACATCAATAGTGTTCAGATTTCTAGTGTCTCTTTACTTAATTGTTTCAGTTAGGGGACAAGTAAGATATATACATTGTGATGTGTTGGCGTGTCTTGAGTCTCTATTAACCTCTTTTATTGTACCACAATATATTTGTTAAAGATACCCAGTCATCTGTCCTGTGGAATCTCCATAGTCTGGGCTTTGCCAGTTGCTGTATGTATTGTCTGCTGCGGCATCTTCTGTCGATTTTGTAAATCTATACCCCAGAGCCTTGAGCAGGCTCAGATCTGTCAGTTTGATCTGGTCTGGTCTGTTCTGGTTCATTTTAATCTGGTCTAATCTGGTCTGGGCAAAGCTGGTTCTAACTGGAGGGGCATAATATCTGACTGACTGTTTTATTGTGCTGTTAGTAGCCAGGGGTGGTCATCTTGGACCATTAACTCAGTGGAGTTTGCAAAGAGTGATATTTTATTTCTATAATTCTTTTTTCATTACTTAGCTAGTTTTTTAGTCCATTGCTGCTGCTATAACTGAATGCCATAGAATGAGTAATTTATAAAGAAGTAAACTTATCTCCTACAGTTCTGAAGGCTGAAAAGTCCAAGATTAAAGTACAAGCATTGGTGAGGGCTGCTCCCTGCTTCCAAGATGGTCCCTTAAATACTGTGTCCTCCAGAGAGGAGGGATACTTTGTCCTCACATGGCACTGGGTGGAAGGCAGAAAGGACTAAACTCTTCCACCGTGCCCTTTTGTAACGGCATTAGCCCTCATGAGCTAACACCTGCTACATGGTCTCTCCTCCCAGCACTGTCACATTAGAGATTAAGTTCCCATCACATACATTTTGGACGATACATTCAAACCAGAACAGCCGGAATAATTCAATAAAGAAAATTCCTCCTGTACTTTTTGGCTATCCAGTGGTACCATTCTCATAAGAGACAAGAGAAATGATGGTTTATCCTTCCCACGTAATCACCAGTGTGAAATCAGTGGATGAGTTCACTGTTATTCATCAACTGTTACCGATTAATAGCATTGTGAACTCGAGGGTTGAAGCCTATAAACTTGTTGCCATTCTCTGTAGAGGCTCTTCTACTTAATATTCAAATTATCGTCTCCGAGTCCTGGGTTGTCCTCACTTGCTCTGCTGCCCTCTGATCCATGTGCTGCTCTTCTGAGGCCTGGTCAGCTTCTTTCTGGCCCCTGTGAATGGAAGAAGGTTTGCGGATCACTGTCCTAAAGCTGAAGGTGCTCTTTCCTGATGCCAGGCCCATCAGATTTCTGGATAGAGCGGGGAAGTCTTTGAAGGTAAATGATATTAGGTCTGTACTGTCACTTCCAATTCACATTGAAAGCTGTAAAATTCATTTCTTAGACCTTCTGTAATTTTTTTTTTCCCTCAGCTTAGAATCCTGGTTGTCAGCACCCAGATTTGATAGAGTGAGAAATCACACATGGCTTGGGTGTGATGTGCCCCAACGAACACCATGTATGAGTGTGTTTGTTGTATTTGTGTTGTGTTTGCTTTTGTTTTGTTTTTTCAGCTCAAAACACTTAATGTAAGAAAACTCTAGAAGAAGGTACCAGAAGTAAGCAAGTAATAACATTAGGATGGAAAGTTCTTTCTAATATAACTAGAAGCCGTCACTGGAGGGTTGGTCAAGAAAATAAATTTGACCAAATTAAAAAGTCCATATAACCAAAACTGCTACAACTACAGTAAAATCTTCACAGACTCACACTTGAGTACCCAAGATACTCACACTGAGCATGGTCACCAAGTTAACTCTGCTGGTGGCCCCCTCAGAGCCCTGCGGACCAGTCCTGCACCTCCTGGTGTGGTGCTGCTCACTCTGCCCAAAGATGAGAAAGCCCCACAGCCATGCTGGAGTGTCAGCAGGGCTGACCCAGCACCTTGCCCCAAGCCCCACACTCCTTGCGAGGATCTGGCACAACACCCTACTGCAGCTCATTGACAGGTAACATCTTTGCTTTCCCAGTTGAGGGCTGCACCTGCTCAGCTGACCCAAGCCTTGTGCTTGCTGTCCCCAGAGAAGCCCTGCTGCTATTTAGGACCTGCTGAAAGGTGGGCCAGGTCTTATTAGGGCCATGCCCAGGGAGGATAGCACAGAGCTTTCTGCATCCAGAAAGCCCCACCTCACCCTTGCGCCAATCTGTTGGCTCTGCTGAGCTACCTGCCAGCTCGTGTGTGGCCCTGGTCTGTGGCTCACACTGAGTTTCCTCACTGATCTCTCCTGGTGCATGGTAAGCCATGTAACAGAAGGCAGCACACGGTAACTCTGACACAGAAAGCAAGGAAGAGGTTTCTGTGTGATCTACATGGAATAGCCTGAAGAGATTGGTGATTTGGCTTATATTACCTGTAGAAGGTCAAATTCAAGACCATTTCCTAAAATGTTTTCCTTTTTCTAGATGACATCCGACACCCAACACAGGTCCAGCAGACGGATTTGGCTGCAACGCTTGCAATAGGGCTTGGTTTCCCAATTCCAAAGGACAGTATAGGGAGTCTTTTATTTCCAGTTGTAGAAAGAAGACCAATGAGAGAACAACTGAGATTTTTACATCTAAACGCAATACAGCTTAGCAGATTGTTGCAAGAGAATGTCCCATCATATGAAAAAGGTAAACCAGTTAATAGTTTCCAACTTCCTCCAGGACTGTATGTCCCCTTTGAGCCTTGTTTTCCTGCTGTACTTTGTTATATGAGTTTGTCATGGGCATACTTTGCATTCATTACTCTTTGATTATATACATATTGTATTCCTCTTTGCTTAGACACTTAATTGTCAACATAAGCAACACCCACCGATGCAGTCATCTAAGTGGAGTGCTTTCATAACTTTTATTAATTCAACAAGTATTTACCAAGTTCTTGTTACAAACTATTAAAGCATTGAATGGTACAAGATTTCTGTGCTTATGGTACGTTCCAGAGTGAGGAGAAAAGCGTCATAATAGGTGATACACGATAGATGGTGGCAGGGACCCTGGGGCAGGGGAGAGATAGTGCAGGGCCCCATACAGCCTGAGGATGCGTCTGAACAGGGTGCCAGGAGATGATGACAGGATGCACAGCTCTTCGGGCGTCAGGCCCACCTTTGTTCTAGATGAAGTGGAACAGCTGCATGGTTTCCTGTGAAGCCCGAGGCTTTTGGCCTGCATTTCCAAGCCCACCCAGCCTGTCTCTGAGGGCTCACCCAGTGGGGAGCAGCTTCACTCTGGTGAGAGGTGGGTAGAGATGGCCAAGGGGTGAGCATGGGAGTTGCATTCAGGAAATGTTTTGGAGGTGGCATAGACAGGATTGGCTGGCACCCTGGGATGTAAGGTACAGGAACAAGGAGCAACCCCAGTGTTTTCAGCAGTACAGAAGAGGGGCTGACTATGCACTGAGGTGGACCAATCACAGGAGGCAGGTTTGCAGGTGTCCAGGAAACCACAGAAAGAAAGACTCTCAGTTGGGGGCAGTGAGCAGCTGTGTTGAATACCGGTAAGAAGTAAGCCCTAGGGACCAAGTGTTGGATCTGGCAATGTGAGCCCTTAGTGACTGCTGGAAGCGGACCACTGGAGAGCTGCGGAAAGCCTCTAGGGTGGGCTCCGGTGTGGGCAGAGAGAAGGAAAGGAGTCCAGACCTGGGACCCAGAGCAGGTGCTGCATCCCTGGGATTGAGACCCTCGGGTGTTTGTGAGCCAGAAGGCATGGTCCTAGAAGGAGCATGTACCTGCCCACAGCCGCTGTAGTCAGCTGAGTCACACGCCCAGGCCCATCACGGGCTGGCACTAGCGCCCTTGGCTCCCTGTGAGTCTACAGAAGGCTTCTCCTGTCTGAGGCAGGGTTTGCTGCGATGCTGTCAGTTCTTCCCTAGCTGGGCTGCAGCCACCAGGACAAGTACAAGTAGGCAAGTGTCACCTGTGGGAGACACAGCCTGCCGGGTGGGGGCAGTCTGGAGCCACAGGCAGCAAGGGCGAGAAGGCACCGTGAGCCAGGTGTGGCCCGGGGTCCAGGGAGAAGTGCTGTGTCAGGCAGGGCCTGGACACGACCCCCGTACAGCCCAAACCTGGACCCCTGTTGCTTCTGGTTTGTTTTGTTTTTTCAAAAATGATTTCAGTGAAGTTTTGCGTATTTGCTCTCGCTATAAAGTGCCCTTTCTGCTATATCAGTAAAAACACCATTAAAAACAAAAACAACAAAAAGGTGGTTTGCCTCTTTCAGAAATGTCAGGGTAGGGAGAAATCAAGAACTGTGAGGGGTGGAAGAGACCCCAAGGCCGCTGCCTGGGTCTCACGCCGCAAGGAGACTGCATTTCTGCCATCAGCACAGTTCCAGCAGCAGGTTTCGGACCCCATCTGACCAATGAGCCCTTCAGACACCCAGCTTGCCCTGAGCACCTGCCTCTCGTGGTCTCTGCTCTGGGGGGACTGACTTTCTCTCGCTTCAGGACCTTTGCACATGCTGTTCCCATTGACTAGAGTCTCTTCCCTGGGTTTTCAGAGTTAATTCCAAAGTACCCTTTTAATTCAGCTTAGATGTCAGACCAGGCTTTTGCCCCACCCCACTTTAAATCTAGAACCAATTCCTCCCCTAACCTAGAACTCATTATATAGTGTATTTTTCTGTCATACCATTCTTCACACTTTTTAATTGCATGTCTGAGCCCGTGTGTGTGTGTGTGTGTGTGTGTGTGTGTGTGTGTCTGTGCACATGCGCATGTGTACTTGCGAGAAAAAGAGAGAGAATGTGAATTTGAATCCATGAGGCTGGCATCCTAACTGCTGCACCCAGCACTGCAAAGTGGGAGACCCAGGTCTACACTCCATAGCATCCAGAGGGAGTCATAGAAACAAGGGCATTCATGTCTGTGCCCCGCAGCCTCTATATGGAGTCACAGAAACATGAGGCACCCAGGTCTGCATCCCAGCCCCACTGGCCAATGAGGGAAGGAAAGGAAGAGCTGCTTAGTGGGGTGCTGGCCATTGGTGCTATAAGGCTGTGTCTGCTAGCAGTAATGAGCATGGAATTGGAAGTATCTGGGCTCATGTCTGCACCTTATGCAGCTACTGGGTTGTCTGTAAGAGTTCTTGTGCTGCTGTGAGGCAAACCTGTGGCTGGGTCAGAGCTGTCAGGTTGGGGACCCGCTGACAGGCACTTCTGAGTCCCCCTTCAGTGGCCCTTCCTGAGAATTTCAGATATCACCAGGTCAAGGTTCTTGGTTTGAGGATCTGTCTACTCATGAGTAAGTGTGATCCAGGCAGGACTGAGAGACCGTCTAGCTCTAGAAAGGGCGGACACCAGTGCCTGGCAGCTTGCCAGTGTTTGCTGCAAGAGGCAGCAGCCATGAGGCCAGCCCCTTCCCAGGGTCAGGCCTCCTACATCAGGCCATCACTGGCCTTCCTGAGCCAAGGGCTGGGGAGTCACTTTCCAGAGGGTACTTAAAGAAGGGGGTTAAGGAGCCAATATGTGTGCAAGGACGGAAGGGCCGGCTGGGCGCGGAGGTAGGTGTGGGTTAGGGTCCCCACACATGTGCTGTGAGGACCGGAACGATTCTGCACAACCAGGACCAACTGACACAGTACACCTCAGGAATGGTTTTATGTTGCACAAGAAAAGGAAGAGTGGAAAGAGACAATAAGAGGGTGAGAAGGAGGTGTGACCAGGTAAGAGGTGTAGAGAGGAGTCTGGGTCAAGTAGAGGGCAGACATTTCTATCCATACGAAGGACCCAGGCCCTGGGAAAGCTGTGACAGACAAGCTCATTGTCAGTGTTTACAGTTTTACTAATAGTATGTTGCTGCCCCTCCCCTGAAGGAATAAGCAGTGTGCATTGGGTATCAGTTCTATAACTCATGCTGCAGATCACCATGTGAGATCTTTCTGCCCTGCAGATCCTGGATTTGAGCAGTTTGTAATGGCAGAAAAGCTCCATGGGAATTGGGTGAAGCTGCACTTAGAGGAGGACCGTTCTGGTGCGCTGCTCAACCTGGGGACTAAGGTGGCCAGGCAGTACCTGGGTGCGCTGAGGACCCTGAGCCTGGCACTAAGCACGCACGTGGCTCAGTATGATACCTACTCCATGGCGGTGGGGACCATCATCGTTCTGGAGGTACGAACCTTCATGTGGTGGGGCTCAGGTGGTGTTGCATAGATTTGGCAACTCAGCCAAAATATGAGTTTGAAATATATACAGTACTAACCACAGTGTTACTAAACCCAGAAAAGACAGCTTTTCCTCACCCTCCCATGTGTCCAGCTTGTGACTGCACAAAGCTGTGCCGATGAATGTACCCTGCGTTGCCACAGGAGGTCAAAAATAAGCCATACTGTGTACTTCCAGTAGGCAATTAAAAATCCTCTTTCTTGGGCCTCGTCTGGTCCCACTGTGTGAGCAGCTGGCATGGGGGAGGCTTGGGTCCTGTGGACCGTGCAACACCTGGCCACCTAATCCATGCTGGCGTCCTCTGTTGCAGACTCTCATCCTGCTCCTCCTCAGCATCCCACAGGTGCTGCGCAGAAGGGCTGAGCTAGAAGTGCCACTGTCATCTCCCGTGTTCTCTCTTCTCTTCTACCTGATGTTCCTGGTCCTGTCGGCCATCCATGTAGTAGTATGCACTTCAGCTGAGAGCTCCTGCTACCTCTGCAGCCTCCCATGGCTGGCGGCAGGAGGCGTGATGGTGCTGGTTTCTGCACTGCTCTGTGTGATTGCGTCTGCATTTGCCAGGATGGTCATGGACAGCACTTTCCTGCGGAAGGTACAGCAGGTGTGGACGGTTGTTACACCAGCCCACTTTTGTCCCCCAGATGTGGTTGAACACTTGGTATGCACCTCACAGGGGATGGCAGTGGGGGACCTTAGCTGCCCATCCCAGGCTCCTGGGTGCCGGGACCCCATATTCCGGTGTGGTGATCAGGCCACATGCCTCTGCGCTTGGTTGGAAGGAGAGCTCTAGGAGGGGAGCAGAAGGGTCCTCAGGGTTGCTGGCCATGGAGGACCGGCCCACATGGGCCTGAGTCTCACAAAGCATCTGAGCTGCAGCCAAGGGCATGGTCCTCTGGTGGGCACTCAGGATGCTCCGGGACACTTGGTCTGCTGTGCCTCTGCGTCCCCAAGTGCAGTTCTTTGAATTCTGAGTCTCTGGCCGGGCACCTTTGTTCGTTAGCTGGGAGGTGGGGGCAGGGCAGAGAGAAGAAATGGACAGCTGTCAGGTCCACAGTGTCCAGAGCACCGTGAGGATGGAGGCCTGCACACCCCACAGGTGGGGGATGCATGTGGGCATCTCGAGGTCCCTGGGACTCAGATTGTCTTTGTTCATGTCTGTATCTCTGTATCTCTCAGCCCTAGCTGGGTTCATGCTACCTCTCTTCTAGTATCTCACAACACACAGTTAATAGATATCAAAAGAACAAATGGCAGTAACTGAGCCTTGAGCCATTTAAAGTTAGAATATTAAAGGGAAAGGACTGTGATGCCCTCTTTGTCATTTCAAACAGATATAACTGCTCATAGTGGAAACTAGAGTTCTAGAAACTCATGAACAAGTTTGTTGTCAGCACATCTGCAGGATGTGTCGGGGCCTTCAGTTTCCAAACAGCAGGAACTGGCATGGAAGGAGGGCTGGCAGGGGCCCTGGCCCATGGGCTTGGGCTCACCCGGCCATCTTGGTCTTTGCTACTCTGGCTAGGGAGAGAGGGCGGCACAGGAGGAGGGACTCCTGGGCAACTCTGCGGCACTGCTCAGGAAGACACCTAGGGCCTGTCACGGGTAGTTGCTCTGAGCAAGGACATCATCACATTCAGTGAGTGTGTGCCATTTTCAGATCACCCCTAATAAGACGCGTTTCTTCCTCACAGAGTGCAGCCCACCCCTGCTCAGGATGGTCAGAGGTGGGCCTCCTCCTCCTGCTGGGCACGGTGGGCCATGTCCTGAGCCTGGGAGCCAGCAGCTTTGTGGAAGAGGAGCACCAGACCTGGTACTTCCTGGTCAACACACTGTGTCTGGCTCTGAGCCAGGAAACCTGCAGGAGCTACTTCCTGGGGGATGACAGCAAGCTTCAGTGCTACTTCCACACAGAGCCAGGGACTGTGGGAGCCACCTGCATGCGACAGGACTGCACAGCCTGTGAAGCCCCCAAGGCTGGCCAGGCGAGTAAAGGGCTCCCCTCTGGAGCACGCGGAGGCCACACACGCTGGGCAGTGCTAGCCGGGCCATGGCTGGTACTGGCCTGCTGCCGACTGCTGCGGTCCCTGAACCACACAGGGGTCCAGGGAGCCCACCGGCCAGACCTCAGCCACTGGCTCACCAGGTGAGCACAACCCCAGCAGGCTGACCCTGCTACTGAGTTCACACACCAGTCTTCTTTGAATACACTTAGGCCTGTTCTTTGTGCTAAGAATAGGATACCATTTGAGATCTGAAAAATGGAGGAAGTTATCACTGGAGCAGTTGTGTCTGTACATCCCCTGGGGTGTGAACGTGGGCCACCTGCACCCTGCACTTCCGTGCTGCAGGGCACTCCTGTCCTGGTGCAGAGGTGCGAGTTTCGTACCTCCGGGCAGCTGCCCACTCCTCCACAGTTGTCTGCCTGACCTGCTTCAGTGGCACATGGCCATCCAGAGTGCCTAAAATGTGCATGCGGCTTAAAGCTCAGTAGCAAATGAATGCTCACATCTTTTTGCCAGGCCCGAGTATATGTGGTAGAATATTTAATCATCCTTTTAACAGTGATTGTCTGAGCTTGTGAGTATGAGGTGTAGTGGAGAACAGAGCCCGGCCTTCCAGCACTCCAAACGTGGCTCGGTTCCACTCCTGCACCTTCCCTCACCCCAGGGCATGGGGCAGCCTGCCAGAGGTGGGGTAAGGATGCAGCCAGTCAAGGGTGGTGGGGACAGGACTATTTATACCTCCTGCCCAGCCTCTAAGCCTGTCAAAGCTATGAGACTTCCGGTGAACCAACTTATTTGTCACATTTTAAGAACTTTTGTTTAAATTTAATTAACCAATTTTTTTTCTCTCTAAGAAAATCAGCTATCTTTAATCCACTTCTTTGGAGCCGCTGGGTGTGGATTGTGTACATCAGTAGTCCCACTTGGTAACAACCTTGGGATTTTCTGTCTCACTGCAGCCCTAGTCACAGGATGGAGCTCTCCTGCCTGGCTGCCCTCTCCCTGCTTGCGGTCTTCCTGCTGGCTCAGAGGGGGTGCTCCCCTGTGGTCAAGGTGGCCCTAGCGCTAGGGCTGCTGGGTGTCTTCTGCTATCGGGCAGCTACTGGGAATTTGCTGTTCCCATGGCAACCAGCCAACAGAGGCATTTCGAAGTAAGTACATTGCAGACATGTGGACTTGCTTTCAGATCTGTCATTGTATTTTATGTACCGAAAAATATCCTGCCAATCTTTAGAACACTGCAGTTTGGTTTTTATGAATGGTGGTTTCATCAGCAGCTCCTAGAGCCTAGCTAACAAAACCATCATGAACGCAGCTAGCAAAATCTTCACTTTGTTAGTTAGCACTCTTTTGGGAGAAAGACAGATAGCTTGGAAGGTCACTGGGATTTTTGGCTTTTTAATTAACAATCTCCAGGGATGTCGTAGGACTAACAAGCGACAGGCTGGTGTCTGAGTTAATTAATGGCAGCTTTGCTCAGTTGTGGTGTGACTGTAGAAACTTCCTATTTCTATGAAAATGCTTGTCCTGACAGCTGTTTGGAAAATCAGCCATCTTTAATATACTTCTGTGGAGCTTCCACATGACTGCACAGTTGGTCACCCCATGGTTGGTAGACGACTGTTTTACTCTTTACTTTGTGCAGTACAAATGATGCTCAATGAACATGCTGCATGTATACTGAGGAGAACGTGGCTACACCAAAGAAATGCTTCCAGCCTGGCAGAGTTGAAGCTGAGCTGTCTGGTCAAGCGTTTGTGTAGAAATAGGAAAACACTGTAGAGCAGTAGGCTATAAAACTGCCATACCATCGCAGCTTACCAAGTCAGTTTAATTTTTCATATTTGTATGAAAGAGTAGATACAATACTGGTGATTATGCAGTATTTAGGACTCAGGATCATAGGTGGATTGTGCTTTTCCTTTTAACTCTTTATTTTTGTACATTGCATGTGTCCAGAATCGATGAGTAGAACGAAAGGTCCAGGAGGGAGCCAGGGGACACAGCCAGGCGGTGGGTGGTCACTGAGCTCAGGGGCACCGGGAAGGGAAGCCCCTGCTGAGGCAGGAGGCCAGAGTGGGTGGAGCGGAGGGGTCCGAGGTGCTGGGGCCCGCTGTGGAGATGTCTCAGAAACTGTCTCGTTCAGAGTCCAAGGCTTTGGGAAAACATCAGACTGGCCGTTATATCTGGGGCATTTGTGTCATCGCAAACTGCAGCCTGTGAATGAGTCCTCACGTGCTCCCCGACCTGTGCGCTTGTTTCCAGGCTTTGGGCATCTCGTTTGCCTGGTTGCCCACTGCAGCATGTTGTCTGCAGTGTCCAAAGCCAGCTGTTTTGCTTTTTCTTGCAACGAGTCTGCTTGTTCACCTTCCAGAAAATGCTTCCATCCCTCACCCCTTCCTATCCTGTCTAAATACATCCTGGTTCCAGATCTACCTGGTCCTAGATCTGCTGTGATTCTGGGTTCATCCAGGATCCTGGAGTCTTTTGTTGTCTGTGGCTTGCTTTCTTCTCACTAGAAGCCCAGCTTGGGCTGGAGGAAATGCTCATGGCGGTGGCCCTGGAGCACAGGAAGCACTGACTGGTTAGGGCAGAAGGGCTTCAGCGTGTTTCAAGATGCTCTTTCCTGCACACCACCAGCAGCCTTGGGCTCATCTCCTGGTACAGAACCAGTTCCATCTCTTCTTTGAAACTTCTTCAATGATTCTGACCCGTGCAGGTCCCCCTTCTCTAAGCATTTGGGGCCTGCCCTTGGCACTCATCCCAGAACACACCTGGCCTGCAGGGCTGCCAGCTCCCTGAGCCCAGCTCCTCAGTGAGGGCCGCGTGCAGGCACAGGCACACGTGGCCCACTGTGTTGGAGTCAGACTGATCATACTGAAAAAGGGATTTTTAAATACATAAACCTTTCTAAGAAAATCATTTTTAAAACCCTCATTTTTTAAAACATATGTTATTTTATTAATATTTTAAAATTTACTTAATTTTTTTGTTTTGTTTTGGCTTTGGCTTTTTTTGATACCAGGGATCAAACTTGAGACCTTGTGCTTGCGAGGCAGGCAGCGGCATCACTGAGCTAAGTCCCCAACCCTTACGTAATGTTTTAAATGATGTCTTGCATTGTATAAAAAAATTAGGTATTAGGAATATATGTGCTTTGCAAAATGAAGTTCCTGGGCCTAGTATCATAGATTATATCTTTTACTGCCTTAAATGAAGTGCTGAAATAGTTAACTCATGAAAGTAATGCTGAATATTCACCGTGCCAAACAATGCATATTCCCTGTTTAGTTCCTCTGACAGCCATGAGGGGTGTAGATACCATTTTTCGTTCTTTTCACAAATAACAAAGCTGAGCATCAGCAGTGTTAACTTCCCAACAGCAAAGCTGAACGCAGGACCCAGACTGAACACTTATGAGTGCATCCTTTCTGAATCTTCTTGACTGTGCACACTCTCGCTCACATAGTCAGCATTCGTGAACGAATGGGAGTTTCTGAGAGTGGGGTTTTATACCGGGGCAGTGGCTTTAAACTGTACCAGGTGACTTTCCTAGTGTGCTGCAAGGGTACAGCTCTGCCCACAGGAGGGAGACACCCCCGAAGGCAGCTCTGCCAAGAAGGACATGGGGCAGGCCTGCCTGCTGGTCCTGCAGGCTGGGGGAGTGCGAGGTGACAACTGCAGTTGGGAGGGCGCCACCACGTCTTTAGCTGTGCTGACACACTTAGCCATCCCTAATCAGACGCATGTTTTTCATGGGAACATATATATTTGGTCCAAATGAATCTAACTTGTTTTGCTTTTTTTTTAGGGGTATTCTTGAAGCTCGTTTTGTTTATGTCTTTGTCCTTGGCATTCTGTTCATGGGCACCAAAGACTTGCTTAGATCTCAAGTCATTGCTGCAGACTTCAAAGTCAAGACTGTAGGTTTGTGGGAGCTATATAGTGGATTAGTTCTTCTGGCAGCATTGCTCTTAAGACCACATAATCTTCCGGTGTTAACATTTAGCCTCTTGATCCAGACCATCATGACTAAGTTCATCTGGAAGCCCCTGAGACACGATGTAGCTGAGATCACTGTAATGCATTATTGGTTCGGTCAAGCATTCTTCTATTTTCAGGTAGGTTTTATTATTATCATGGGTAGAAGACTATTCACTTTTTTCTATATCTTAGTTTTTGGTAGAGAACATTTTAGAAGTTGGAAAGTGGTCCTTGCTTAGTCAGTATGCGTGGTGAACTGTGCTTAAACTTCTGGGTTTTTTATAAGTAATTTAAAGAGGACATCCTTAGTGTGGACTTGTGAGTGTGCCTGACAGCTGATGGTTCCTCTGCAGGATCAAGTGGGGATTTAGTTACGAGGAGCAGCTAAGAAAACACGCCAAGTGTTTTGCTTGCTTTTTTTATAACTGTAGTAACTCTGCTTCTTTGTGCTTTCATCCTGGTGTCGGGGCTGTCCACACTGGGGACCAGTGTCCCCACATGGCTATTAGTCCACTGGAGGGGCCTGGAAGAATGGCAGGGCTTCTGTGGTACTTAAAGACCCATCACATGCAGGCCTGAGCCTACTTGACTGTGTCCAGACACTTGGACAGTTGTCCCACAACCTCTGGTGTCCCCGGGGCATGCAGGTCACTGCAGATCCCTCCAACCCAACTCCCTGGCTGAGAGACTGTACCACCACAGGACACTTGCTCTGTCTCCTCTGTGCACACCGGCTGCCACCACTCGACCCAGTCCCGGGATCTCGTCCAACTGTGTCCCGCCAGGGCTTCATCCCTGTGTTCCTCCTGCATTCCCGGTTTCTTGGGCCCCAAGTTGTATTCCTGGTCTCATGGTGAGTGAGTTAGAGAAACCCGCCAGGCCTCCACAGCATGGCCAGATTGAGGCCAGCCCGCGGGTTCACCTCCCAACCCTCTCAGCCTTGGTCTGGCCAAGGAACCTAGGGTGGCATCGGCACGGGGTGTCCCACAGAACACAGGGAACCTTCCCACAGGAAGCTTCTTTTGAGTGCATGCTCAGCCTTAATTCTTTCCCTATCAACTGGGGACCATGAACAGTGCTGTTCTCCTAGACTGAGTCAGGAGCCTGGTGGAGCCTCCCTTACCCTTCTCTCTCCACATCCTGTCTTCTCCCTCCCTACCCACCTTCCCTGTCTTAGGCCTCCCGTTTATGTGCCCCTGTCCTCTCCCTGTCCTCTTGTGGCCCTGACCTAGCCCTGCCTGTCCCGAGTCTCCTTCCCTTCACTCTCAGGTCTGGTAGAAGAGCGCTGGACTTGCTGCCCTCAGCGCTGTGCTTCCTTGACTGCATGGGGATCAGGAACATGGCTGCTCTGTTTTGCTGGCCCTCCATTGCACTAGGCCCCCCATCTTTGTGCCTCAGTCTCCTTCCTATACACCAGGGACAGTAGTGTGCCATGTCTCATGGCTGACAACAGCGAGCTAATGCAGGTTGGCGGCAGCATGGTGGTATGTGCTGCCCCACTGCAGACTGTGTGGTTGACCCTCTGTTCTGCTGACTCTGCTCCAAGAGCAGACCCACCTATGTCCCCACTGGGCCCTGATCTGCCCCCTCCCACTCCTCCTGCTGCCACCCTCCTGCTGTCCCCAGGCTAGGCTGAGCAAGGGAGATAGGAACACAGACTGCATCAGGGCAGAGTGGACCTCGGGGAAGAGATACAGAGGAGCAGCACCCAGGGAAATGGGCTTGTGGAACAGGAGGATGTGTGTGTCTCTGGACCTGTGCAGGTGGCAGCAGCACCACACTGTGCCCACTGGCCCCAGCGAGGGATCAGGGTGTGAGTCAGATTCAGGGGTCTACATGATGCACAGATCACCAGGCTCAACAGACTGAAAGTGGAGAGAGGTGGACCCTTAGGAGATCCTGCCATGTAACGTGTAGGATGAGCTGCATCCCACAGCACAGTACCTGCCAAGGCTGCCCAGAACCATCCAGACTCGCCACAATCAGAAGTCAGTTCTCAGAAAGAGGCCAGTATCTCCTGCAGGGCCAGCTCACCCTCTGAACTACCTCAGCCACAGCCAGGAGTCTCCAACCTGGTATGCCCCCACAGATGGGGGCCCTTGAGGGCAGGTCCCTGCTCCCCTCAAGGACAAAGAAATGAGATTGCCATGCCCAGCCAGCAGGCTGACTCTTCCGGAGGGACATTTCTGAACCAGCCACCTGGCTCTTGTGGGCCTGGAATGGCACAGCAGGCAGACAGGTGACTGGTCCTGGGCCAGCCCGGGGACCTGGCTGTGGTCAGTGTATCTGGCTCTTCTGACAGTGCATTCACACCACTGTGGTCGTCTGGCCACGTGTCCACACTCAAGCAATAGTGGTTGATTCTGTGTGTTGTGAGGCCATCATCAGCCCTGGTCTCCTCTGTTCCAGGGCAACTCCAACAACATCGCCACCATCGACATCTCATCAGGTTTCGTGGGCTTAGACACCTACATGGAAATTCCAGCCACATTCCTGACCGTGTTTGGGACGTATGTGGGACCTGTGCTGTGGGCTGGCCACCTCGCACACTTCCTGAGTGCAGAAGCAAGTGGGTGAGGCACATCTGTCTTCAGCACAAACCTGAAGGTTCCTGTTTCCAGGAGTTACGCCTTGTCCTAGATAGGGCATCTGAGCTCCATGGGTCTGACAGCCTGTTCACCAGTAGTCTTCCTCACATGAGCTCAGTCTGCAGCTCCAAGGCCTGCAGCGGTCTGAGGACTCTGTGTGGGCCAGGTTCATTCCCCCAGTTCAGTCACTGGGGAAGGGGATGTCTTCTGCTGCTTGAGCTTTTGTTTGCTGGGGATTCGGGAGCAAGAAGACAAAGACACTAGCCTTTGGCCTCAGAGCCGCTCGACGGCAAGAGGCCGGCTGCTGACTGGATTGCTGAGGAGGCAGCCAGGAAGCTCCGCCCTGCACCTCCCACGCTGGCAGCTCCCTGCCTCGCCTCCTCTGGCCTTCGCATAGGTGTCGCTCTCCGGGCCTGCCCTGCCTGTGTTCTCTGCAGCATTCTCGTGTTCTCATTCTCCTCTTTCTCAGTCATTAGTTTTTGTCTAGTTTCCCCCTAAAAAACAGCTTTGTGAGCAGGGACTCTATCCACTGACCAGGCAGCCCCAGTGCCAGTCAGCCTGACAGGGTCAGACATGAAGTAGCATGGGGACACTCAGTTCTGCACCTGTGAAAAAGGGAGTTGGTTACAAGCATTTTAATCAGTGGACAAAATTAATTGATATTTTCCGTAGTTGAGTATTCTTTCATTTTACAAATGGTTTTCTCTTTTTTTTTTTTTGGTACCAGGGATCGAACTCAGGGCGTTGTGCTTGTGAGGCAGATGCGGCGCCACTGAGACAAATCCCCGGCGCTCCCTTTCAGTTTTAAAAGCTTAAAGCATCAAGTTTTACCCATTTCCATTTTGCTTCAGTAAAGTAAGAAAATTGTAATGAAATCTAAATGGTGCCTAGAGAAGGTGTTTCCAGCAGGTCAGAGTTTGTCTTGAGTGGTCAGGATCCCAGCTGCAGGGCTGCCGAGTTGAGCTGGGCAGCATGGTTAGAAGCACAGATGGCTGTGCACCGGAGTTCGCTGGTGAGGCCAGGAGCCCACTGGCCACCATGAGGGACCTAGCCACAGTCTTCTAGACAGATAATATTAGCCCTTGTCTGCCTACGTTGGGCACAGGCCGAGCAGTAGAAGCTGGGTCTCACCACACACTGTCTGAGAAGGTGGTACAGTCCCCCGCCGCCTCTCACCCACAGAGCGCACCTGCCTGCTAATCTTTTACCTGGTGTTGGCACAGTGTTCCAGGCAGGTGCTGTCACTCAGGGCATGCAGGAAGGTAGCCCTTGTAGGGTTCCCCCAAGTTTAGCTGCAAGCTGGAAGAGAAAGCAGTGAGGCGGAAGGCTGCAGGGCTGCCACGGCAAAGGCATCGAGCCATGCTGAGATGTGCTGGGGTGACAGGCGGTTGAAGACCCAGCAGGCAGAAGAGGACATGCAGAGGCCAAGAGGGGAGCCAGTGAAGCCCAGCACCTGGAGAGCCCTAATCTGTGGCCACTGAGTGGCTGTGGAACCTTAGCTGGACAGTGATCACAGAAGCAGTAGGCATTGTGGGGCTGTCTTAAGGTAGTACCTGGTGGAGTCTCCTGGTCATCAGGACTGAGGAGCACATCGCAGAGTGCACTCACATAGGTGACCCTGGCATATGCACCCTCAACACACATGCTGCTGCACCTCTAAGCTTCTACCACAGCTAGGCAAGCTCGCCATGCCCCCAAGTTCAGGGCTCACAGTGTGGACACTGTGAGCCATGGGCACCGTCCGCCCAGGGGAGGCGCCTACCCTGGCATGGCAGTGCCGATCCCATCTCCATCCTGAGGAGAGATGCTGTGAGTGAGAGGCAGCAGCGATGCAGGATGTGGGCCGACCACAGGGGAACAGCACACACAGGCCTGGTCAGTGCAGTGCAGGGTTCGAGGAGACAGTAAAGCCAGAGCATGGGTGGGGCTGGGACCTGAGAGCCCCTAGGCCTTCCAGACTGGCCAGAGGCCACAGATGGGCAGAAGAACTCTGCAGTGATCACAGACCTTGGGAAGTTACTTTAAAGCTTAGGTTAGATTTATGTGATGCTTGTATTGGTGGTTTAGAAACAGTGGGGCAGGGAGCAGCTCTTGTTTCCAGGATGGCGCCCCTTCCAGTGATGCTGCTCTGTGCTGCTCCCCTCCTGAGCACACACTTTGGGGCCAGATTCCCCAGACTGCAGGAACAGTGGTGCAGGCTGTGTGTCTGTTGTTTGTGTGTCTTCCTTGTGTGATTTTCTATTCAGTGTCATGTATGAGGTAGTAGTACTTGCATATAGTTTTTAAGTAAACAGCTATGCAAAATCTGGGGTGAATTTTTCACAAATATTTCAGAGTGTGATGACTCTGAAGAGGGTCCTAGCTGCTGCTTACAGCTCTTAGCCCCTGGCTTCCAGCCACTTTGCTCCAGATTTGTGTGGGGAGGCTCCTATTTCTAGGAAACCCCCAAGTCGCTCTATGAACAGTGAAGGTTTAGGAGCATTTCTGAGGGCTCACCTTTACTCGGCCTTTCTGCTCTATTTTCTTAGTGTTGAACATGCTGCTATGTTTGTGTTCATCTGGTTTTTCCCTTCTCTAGGACATCTGCAGGATCCCCAGCAGTGTCCGGAGACAGGATGAGTGTGCAGAAGAGTGTCATGTCCTGTAGTCCCTGGGCAAGGATGATCACGGTGTTCAGAGCAGCAGCAGCGATCACACGTGGTCTGAGGCATGTTCTAATGCATGCTTTCTGTTTTATTTATAGTGATTCAGCAATGGGCCGAGCTTGCTTCTGCTATGCACTGATCTGTTCTGTTCCTGTTGCCACATACATCATTTTGGTGACATCCCTGCGTTATCATCTGTTCATATGGAGTGTATTTTCTCCAAAACTTCTCTATGAGGGAATGCATCTGCTCATCACAGCCGCCCTCTGTGTGCTCTTCACAGCCACGAATCAGACTGGCCACACAAGCGCCTGGACGAAGACGGATGCTAGAAACTAGTGAGCTTTTAAAGTTGGCTATTTGCATCATGGATTTGAGTGTTAAAACATCTGTTGAGGGCCGGGGATTTAGCTCAGTGGTTTCGCCGCCTGCTGCACAAGCACAAGGACCCGAGTTCAATCCCTGGTACCAAAAAAGAAAAAAAAAAATCTATTTAAATGCAAGACCATTAAAAAAGGTGAATCCTATGAAATTGATAAACAGCTTCAATTGCACTTGAATTTAAATTAAATAGTGAGTAGTTTAATAAAAGATCACTTCAAAATACTTACAGTATGTATCATATTTTCTCTATTGGTCATCCCAGAAACTTCTGAAATTTTAATTTTCTCTAGGTTTAAGTCATGAACAGAAAGCTTTGGCCTTTATCTTGATGTGTGGGATCTCAGCAAGCCCAGGACCGCTGTGAGCAGAGGTAAAGATCTAACCCACCAGGCCAGGCACTTTGGTTTACGTGGGTTATGCTTGTCAGTGTTGATGAAATTTGGAATGAAAACTAAGTCATCTCGAAGAAATTACTCACTTAAAAATAACCTATTGTGCCAGTCGTGCTGGTGCATGCCTGTAATCCCAGCCCTCGGGTGGCTGAGGCAGGAGGATTGCCGTGAGTTCAAGGCCAGCCTGGGCTACATAGTGAATTTGAGGCCAGCCTGAGCTACATAGCGAGACCCTGTCTCAAAAAAAAAAAGAATTACCTCTTGTATGTTACTGTAACTTTTTTTTGGTACCAGGGATCGAACTCGGGTCCTCGCACTTGCGCAGCAGGCAGCGAAACCACAGAGCTCAATCCCCAGCCCCTGTTAATGTAACATTTTAAGAAAAATAACTATTTTCCAAAACTAAAATATTTAGTGGGAATGGTATTGTCTTACATTTTTGTAAATCTCTTTAACATCAGGCTCAATTGAAGACAGTTGGAGTCTGCATTTGATCTGTTGTGACTTGTGCTTCATTGAAGAACAAGAAGCCAACCAGCCTTACACAGATCTCTGGGTGGAAAAAGGGCAGAGTGTCTGTGTTTGTGTGAGTCTTCTCTTCTGATACAACACTTGGTCATCCTTCTGTTCCCACTTACAAGCTTTCTATGGAATTACTGTCGTGATTTGTGACATATATATTTTGTTCTGTAATTTACACAACTGGTCGGTTTTGCCTCTGTAAGAAATGACCCATTGCTCACTCTTGGTCCTTCCCACAGCTAAATTCTTTAAATTCTTCATTTTTCCCCCTATTTGCAGGATGGATTTTATGCCCTTGTAATTTTTTCAGAAAAGACTCAAGATGCTGAGTCCCTGAATGTTCTTCTGCGTCCTGCTGGCAGAGTGGCCAGGTCAACAGCCTCTCCCCTGGGGCTGTGGGCACTGCTGTGCCTGGCGTCCCCTGTGGCTGTGCATGACCCAAGACCAGACTGAGTGCCTCCCTCACCTGTGACTTGCTGTACTGTTTCTCCTTTTTCTTCTCCCCTCCATCTCTCCCCTTTTTGCCTGCCTTCTTTCTTTTCTGCCTTTGTAGTTCTGGATTTTACCTTTCCTCTCTCTTGTTTTCTGTGTAGTTATTGTTATTCATTCCATTCCAAAAATTTCCTAGAAGAGTACTTCTTAATGTACAAATATTTAATACTTCATTTACAAATGTATCAGATTGTTATCACTTTCTAAAATTGTTCTTTTTTTAGTCACAGCATGTCTCCCACTTCACATCAGTAATCCATTAAAATCTGACTTTATGCTGAAACACTCTATTTCCCGTTATTTTAAATGGAAGCGGGGGCAGTGTGTGAACGCACCATGCCAAGCCCCCAACCTGTTTCCTAAAATGTAATCCAAGAGTGATGCACCCACATGTGAGGAGGGTGCTGTCTGTTGTGTTAAGCGCAGACTCTTAGAAGGGCATGTCCTGATCACAGATGAGGGCAGTGCTGACAAACAGCACTTCCTGTGCCACCACCTGGATCTGCTGCTGAGACACAGAAGACCTGCCAGTTACATTTGCAATGCAAAGAGAGCCTTCCCACTTTTATTGTTGTTGTTAAAGATGGCATTTATTGAGTTTTAGGGAGGAATAGATACAGCCTATGAATTTGGGTGTTAAAAAGGTATTACACTAGGAAAAAATTAACTAGGAGACATTCTTACAAGGTGTGATTATATTTATTCTTTTTTTTTAAGGTGTACCTTTGAAATCCTGAAGCATATACACAATAAGCAGAAAATAATAAGCTCCCTTGTACCTACCATCAGTAATTAGCATCCAGCCAGGTGTGGTGGAAGACGCCTGTAATCTTAGCACTCAGGAGGCTGAGGCAGGAGGATTGCCATGAGTTCAAGACCAGCCTGAACTACAAAGCTAGACCCTGCCTCAACCAACCCTTCAAGTAGTAATTAACATCCAGACATTTTTTTTCCTGTCTATTGATGGCTGGGTAAGGTTCCATTGTATGACCATACCACAACTTGTTCCTCTGTTCTTCCTTGATGAACACGTGGACTGTCCAATTTTTTAGCTGATGTGAATGTTCTTATACAGGTTTTTTTGTAGACGTGTTTTCATGTCTTTTGGATTAATACCTGGGATTGGACTGCTAGATCATATGGTAAGTGTTCACTTGAATTCTGTAAAGCTGCCATTTCCAAAGTAGTTGTACCATTTTATAATTGCTAGCAGTATGTGAGAGTCATTACCCCATGTGTTAGCCAGCATTTTGTGTCTGATGTTACTCATTCTGAAGGGTACCTAATAGAATCTCCCAGTTTCAATTTGCATTTCCCTGATAACTGACATTGAAAAGTTTTTCCATGTGTTTCTTGTCTGTTTGTATCTTTCTCTGTGAAGTAACTGTTCAAATCTGTTGACCATTTTTTTTTAAGTTGCCTTGTTTATCTTTTCCTTGCTGAGTTGTGGGAATTCTTTATATATTCAGGAGCCAAGTTCTTTATCAGGGACTTTTTGTGGCTATTTTCTTTCAACCCGTGGCTTGTTTATTCTTTTTTAATAGTGTCTTTTTTGATGAACACTTTTTTGTTTAGATGAAATTTAATTTAGCAGTCATTTCTCTTATGGTTACTGCTTTCTGTGTCTTTTCTAAGAAATCTGTGTTCAGTTAACAAAGATATTGCCCAGTGTTTTTTCTAAAAGTTTTAATCGTAGCTTTGTGTTTGTTCATTTGTCTCTTGTTGGTCTCTGTGTGGTATAATACTGGAGTTGAGTTCTTTTTCTCTTTCTTTCCTCTCCTCTCCTTTAATGTAGATAACCATCTATTTTGACACTATTTGTTGAAGATGACAGCTTTCTCATTGAATTACTTTGGCTTTTTTGGTCAGAAATCAATGGCTGGAATAAGTGTGGGTCTAATGGGTCCTCTTTGTCTTTATACTGGGAGCAGACTGCATGATCACTGTAGCTTTATATTGTCTTTTTTTTTTGTACTGGGGATCAAACTCGGGACCTTGTGCTTCCAAGGCAGGCAGCGGAACCACTGAGCTAAGTCCCCAGCTGTATATTAAGTCTTAAAGTTAGATAGTATAAGTATTTCACCTTCTTTTTTTTTTTCAAGTTTATTTTGGTGTCCTAGGTCCTTTGAATTCTTACATAAATTTTGCAATCAGTTTTGTCAAATTCTGTGTTGAAAAACTTGCAGGATTATGCCTGGGATTGCATGAGATCCATGGGTAAATTCAGAGAGAATAGATGCCTGCTATGTGGAGTCTCACACTGTGACCATAGCATGGCCCTCTGGTGTGCAGATCTTCTATAGCGTCTCCTGGTGATGTTATTTACAGTACAGAGATCTGCAAGTCCTGTGTTAAATTTAATCCTATAATTTTTTTTCTGGTATTGTTTGATGTTGTTGTAAATGTATTTTTAACTTATTTTCCAATAATTTGTTGATAGAATATAAGAATACAGTTGACTTGTTTATAATGACCTTGTATCCTGAGACCTTGCTAAACTCCTATTTCCACTGTTAGTTTTGATGATTCCTTGGGAGTTTCTACATAAGTAGTCGTGTCATCTATGAATAGTGACAGTTTCACTCCTTCCTTTCAGGTTTTCAGGCTTCATATTTATTTTCTTGCCTTCCTGTACTGGGTAAACCTCCAGGACAGTGTCGAGTGTGGTGCAAGGATAGACATTCTTGCCTTCTACCGACCTGGGGCAGGTGTGTTGAGTGTCTCTCCACTTGTGTGATCTCAGGACTTCCAAAGCTGCCTTCATCAGGATGAGAAAGTCCCCTTCTGTCATAGTTTGGTGATTTTCAGTTTGTTTTTTATCATAAGCCAGTGTTGACTCAACAACTGTTTATTTTATTAATATTGTTAAACCAAATTTCTTGATAACAAAAGATCTCTAACATAAAAGGGTTTCTTGAGCTGTTAAAGAGTCAGCCAAAACAAGGACCAGATCTTGGGAAGTCCCCACGGCACCTGACCCGACCGTCAGATGCTGGCCAGACCAGAGCCAGAAGCACTCTTTATTATAACAATCTAGGAACACAGGCATAAGTTGTTTCCATGTCCATACATTGGCTATAGGTGAGAGGGGCAGGACTCTGTGAGGCAGAGATAGCAGGTGAACCACAGGGAAGTACCTGTTGTTCTGGATTGGGTGGGGTTGTGAACATGATTTTGTGAACTTAGGGTATCAGGATGTGCTTTGATTTAAAGTTTTAACATCATTCAGGAGTGTGAAATGGTCTTTTATTCTTAACCCCTAGCTTGTCCACTGATTAATTTCCTCTCATCTTGCCCTTCTGTCCTCTGACTCTTCATTAAATTTAGGATATTTTAGAACTCATCAATATGGTAGTTTACTTTTTTAAATTTTGAAATGGCCTTGAATTCCTGGGATAAATTCCATATGGTTGTGATGCGTTGCCATTTTATAGATTCGTGGATTTGACTTGTTAATGCAGTAATGCCTCAGTTCACAAATGATTGTTTGCAAACAATGCAATTCACAAACAAAAGCATTTGCCAAAATTTTGCTTTCGTTCACAAACTCCACATCAGGCAGCAAACATGACCACGACCATCTTCCCCAGACAAACACAAATGCACCCATATTTCCAAAATCGTAAAACAATTTAAGTTCATTAACTGAGGTATCACTGTACTTAGTTAAAAATTTTGCATATTCATGATGTATATTGGTCTCTTACTTGTTATAGTTTGGATCCTAAATGTTTTCCAGAAGGCACATGTTAAGGTTTGGCTCCCAGTCTGTGGTGTTGAGGGGTGGTAGAGCCTTCAGGAGGTGGGGACTAGAGGAAGTGAGGTCTTCGCACTGTGCCCTTGAGTGGGACCCCAGCCCCTTCCTCTCTCTCTTTGCTTCCTGGCTGCCACAGATAAGCAGCTCCTCAGTCATGTGCTTCTCCCTGCCATGACGTACTATGCTACCACAGCCCCAAACACTGAGCCAACCATGGTCTGAAACCCAGGAAACTGTGAGCCAAAGCAAACCTTTCCTCCCTTAAGTTGATGTTCTCAGGCATTTACTTGTAGTGACAGCTGACTGACATACTTGTCCTGTCTTCTTTTCCTGAGAAGACCTCATAGAATGAGTGGGAAAACATTCCGTGCTCTATGTTCTGAAAGTTTTTAAGTATGTTTTCTTAGTTCCATAAATATTTATAGAATTTTATAGAATAGTAAAACCATCTGGATCTAAAGTTTTTGTGGGGAAGTTTTTGATAACACTTAGTATTTGATAGCTTTGTAAGATTTCTAGCCAATGCAGTTGCACACGGCTGTGATCCCAGCTACTCAAGAGGCTGAGGTAGGAGGATCACAGGTTCAAGATGAGCCTGAAGTACTTAGTGAGCTCATATCTTTTTTTTTCATTCACTAAGTTTATTGGTTCATTTTAGGTATACAATATGATGACATTCATCATTGGGAATTTGTACTTGTGCATGATGTATCTTGGTTCTTATTTCTTCCCCATTCCCCTGCCCTCCCTTCACCCCCTCCACCCTTCCCTATTTACAGAGACTTTGTTTCCATTTTTTCCTTTTCTCACATTTTTTTCCTTTCCCTTCTTTCCTTTCCCCTACCCCTCCCACTTCCCCATCCCCTTTCCCTTTGGACTTTTTCTGAGGTTCCATTTGACCCAGCTATTCCCCACCGGGTATCTTCCCAAAATAATTAAAAGCATCATACCATAGCAATATATGCACACCCATGTTCATAGCAGCGCAGTGTATAATAGGGAAAGCTTGGAAACAGCCCAAGTGCCCATCAACTGGAGACTGGATAAAGAAGATGTGGTTTGGGCCCAGGATTTGGCTCAGTGGTTCTGCCACCTACCTTGCAAGTGCAAGGACCTGAGTTCAATCCCCGGTACCAAAAAAAAAGACATGTTTTTTTGTTTGTTTGTTTTATGAAGTAAGCTCCTATCTTAAAAAATAAAAAGGTTTTGTTTGTTGTGTTTTATTCTGGTGCTGGGCACTAAATCCAGGGCCTGATGCATGCTAGGCAAGTGCTCTGCAACTGAGCTACATCCCTAGCCCAAACAAAGTTCTACTTTGACTTGCATTAATCTTGGTAAATTGTATCTTTTCATTTACTCCAAATTGACACAGATTTGTTCATGATATCCCCATATTATCTTTTGATGATGTCTGGAGAGTCTGCAATGATAGCCTTTCTTTCCTCCTCATTTTGATGGTTCTGTTGTGTCTCAATCTGTCTTTGCCTGTCTGGTTTCTCTGTCATCATTTTCGTCTCTCTGCCTCT